AATACTTTTAAAAAAAGATTAAAAAAAAAAGAGTAGGCCCATAGAAAATGATGATAATGATGGTGGTGATGGTGATAATGATGCTGGTGATGAATGGTGATGGTCATGGTGATGGTGGTGATGATGTTGGTGGTGGTGGTAATGATGGTGGTGATGAAGATGATGGTGATGGTGATGGTGGTGGTGATGATGACTGTGACCTCAAGGCCCTGCTCCTTCCTTCTCAGGCCTGGTCCGGGAGCAGGAGGCTGGGCTGCTGCAGTTCCTCCGCCTGGACGGCTTCTCAGTGTTGATGCGGGCCATGCAGCAGCAGGTGCAGAAGCTTAAGGTCAAGTCAGCATTTCTGTTGCAGAACCTGCTGGTGGGCCACCCTGAACACAAAGGTGGGATGGCCCCTGAGGGAGGTCAGGGTGGAGGGAGGGGGAGCAGATGACCTGGGGAGGGTATGGGCATAGGGGAGAGGGAGGAGCAGACATCCTGGGGAGGGCGAGGGCATTGGGAATGGGAGAGACTGCCCCTCTGACCCCTGAAGCCCTTCCCCCAGGGACCCTGTGCTCCATGGGGATGGTCCAGCAGCTGGTGGCCCTTGTGCGGACAGAACACAGTCCCTTCCATGAGCACGTGCTTGGAGCCCTTTGCAGGTGCGCTGAGGCCCCTAGAGGATGGGGCCTGGGGTGGGTTACCCACAGTGAGAGTGGCTCAGGAATCAGCCCACCAGCCTCCTCCTTTCTCAGAACCAGGAGTTGGGACCTTCCATGTGGGGGATGAAAGGTGCGGGGCCAGAGAGGAGCAGGAATGTGGGGCATCAGTTTCTCTACCTGTAGGGGGCTGACATGGTGGCATGAGGGAGGGGGAACGTCTTTCTTACACCCCCTGTACACACACACACATAGTACAAGTGGATTAGTGTCTAAAAAAATGACAGAATGGAGTGAGTGAGTGTCAGACACTGTACTAAGTGCCCTGTTTTGTACCTGCCTCATTGTAACCCCTGGGGTGATGTGGGGCAATGTGAGGTCACTTTTGCAGATGGGGAAACTAAGTCCCAGTGTGGGGCAGTCACATGTCCTGGCTCCCATGGGAGCAGTTGGGGGTGGGCAGTGTGAGTAAGCCCAGTTCTGTCTGGCAGAGCGAGGTCCTAAGGGCTGCTGTCTGTTTCCTACAGCTTGGTGACAGACTTCCCCCAGGGCGTGCGTGAGTGTCGGGAGCCTGAGCTGGGTCTGGAGGAGCTCCTCCGCCACCGCTGCCAGTTGTTGCAGGAGCATGAAGAGTACCAGGTATTGGGTGGAGGGCCTGGGTCAGGGAGGAACCAGCCCATACCTGCCCTGGGGGCACTGGGTTCTATTGGTTCAGGCTTTCCATTTGCATTCTCTTTCTTTTTTTTTTTTTTTTTTAAAAAAAAGATGACTGGTAAGGGGATCTTAACCCTTGACTTGGTATTATCAGCACCACGCTCTCCCAAGTGAGTCACAGGCCAGCCCTTTTCATTCTCTCTTTTTATCTGTGTGTTTTTCTGCTGTCCATTCAGCAGACATTTTTTGCGTGACTCCCATTTGCCCAGTGCTGTGTCAGTACAGGGGAGGCAGCAGGGAGATAGAGGAGCTCAGAGATTCTTGAGGGGATGATAAAGTTGTTGAATTATTATCTAAGTTATCTAATATGATTATTTATATCATATCACTGAAATATCTTAATAAGCTATTTCATTAAATTGATAAGAAATAAGTAAATGATAACCAATTGTTTAATTGATTAGATAAAAAGTAACTAATTGGGGCCAGCCCGGTGGCGCACTCGGTAGAGTGCGGCACTTGGGAGCGTGGCGGCGCTCCCGCTGAGGGTTGCACCCGGTCTGCTCACTGGTCCGCTGACTGGTTGAGTGCGGTGCGGGCGCGACACTGAGGGTTGCGATCCCGTTACCAGTCATGAAAAGACAAAAAGGAAAAAAAAAAAGTAACTAATTGATAAATAGCTCACTAGATATTTAATTAAATAGATAAGTAACAAATAAGTGATAAACAACTCAGATAAATAGATATTAAGTAACATATGAGAAATCAGAACTAATTATTCAAATCGTTATTTAATAATTTAAATGATTAATTAATTTAGTTAACCAATTGTTAAGTAATTTATTCATTCAATGAAGTACCTACCACTAAAATGTTGGTACTTCAGCAAAGCTGAGTCCAGCAAATGTGCCAACATACCCAGAGCATCCATTCTGTTGGGCCCACTCTTCTGTGGACACTGTCAAGTGTTTACAGAGAGGCGCTGGGCATAGAGGTGACCAGAAGAGACAGGATGCCCATCCACAGGTGTTCACCCGGACTTTATCATAGGACCCGCAGGCTATGAGACAGGGGAAGCCTGGGACTAGCCTGGCCTGGGGTTTGGGTTGGGGAGTGTGTTTGTCCCCCAGGCATCCCCTGAGCCTCTGGTGTGCCAGACAGTTGGCCGGGTGAAGCTGGGGTCTACCTGTGAGGCCCACCTTGTCCCCACCCTGGAGGTGCCCATGGGCTAATGGGGGCAGCTTCATGTAAACTGACCAACATTCCTTTTTTTCTTTCTTTCTTTCTCTTTTTTTTAAAAGATGACCGGTAAGGAGATCTTAACCCTTGATTTGGTGTCAGCACCACGCTCTCCCAAGTGAGCCACGGGCTGGCACTTTTTTCTTTCTTTTTAAACAATTATTTTAACAGCTTTAGTAAAGTATAATTGACATGTAATAAACTGCACATATTGAAAATGTACAATGTGGGAACTTTTGACATGTGTAAATACCTGTGGAAACATTCATTCTTCCATCCCTCCATTCATCAGGTAGTAGGTGGCCTTTGTGACAGGCCATGCTCTGGGCTCTGGGGATCTGTGGGGAACAAAACAGATACAGCTTGGGTTCTCATGGGGCTCGTAGGGTGACAAATAAACATGTCGACAAACACAAACATATATGTGTTTACACACACACGCAGTATATATACGCATGTATAATATATGTAATACATTTAATATGTACTGTTACATATTTATTGCATGACATCAGGGAGTTAGAACTATAGTGAGGAAAAATTAAACTATTGAAGGGACAGAGAATGCCTGCTAATAGAATAAATTTTTATACATATTATTTTGTATGTGTGTGTCTACAGAACACATTTCTAGAAGGGTAATGGCTGGGGTATAGTATGTTAAAGTTGAAGGCTAAAGGGTTAAGGGCCATTTTGTCAGCTATTGCCAAATTGCTGTCCGTGGAGGTTGGACCATTTGACACTCCCCTGCCTCACGGGTGCCCAACTTTCCACGTCCTGGCCAGGACAATGTGGCTTCAAACCGTTTGACCCTTTTTCAGGCTGATTGGTGAAAAGTGGTATTCTAGTCCAGTTTATATTTCAAATGTGAGTGAAATTGGGCATCCTTTCTTTTTTGAGAACTGGTCATTCACATCTCTTGCCCATTTATCTTTTGGGTGGTGGTTTTTGCAATTGATTTTTAAAAGCTCCTTAAGTATTAAATATGTTAGCCTTTTGAATCACAAATATTTTTTACCAACTTATTTTTCTTTCATTTTTGTTTCTGACATTTTTTGCCATGGAGGTATCTTTTTTATGTGGTTCAACCTATCAGTGCTTTCTTTCTTGGTTTCAGGGGTTTGTATCCGTGGAAGGGGTCTTGAGTAGGGATTGACAGGTCAATTTCTGGGAGTTAGAAAGAGCCAAAGGAGGCTGATGTGAGGACTGACCAGTGGGGTAAGACTGGAGGCTGTGAGACCCTGGGTCTAGTTCAGTAGTTCAGAAACTGATGAGAAGAGAAAGTGAATCATGGATCAGTGGTCAGAGAAGCCTGGATGGCTTCTGGGGTGGGCAGGCAGCAGCCAGGAGGAACAAGGAGCAACCTCTGGGTGCTGAGCATGCTGGAGGCAGGGCTTGACCTTTGCACTCAGGGTTTCTGTTCTCGCTCCCCAATCCAGGAGGAGCTGGAGTTCTGCGAAAAGCTGCTACAGACCTGTTTCTCCAGCCCGACGGATGACAGCATGGATCGGTGAAACCTAGTGACTTTTTGCCCTCCTCTCCGTGGGAACCCGTCCTCCTGCCTCCCTCCCCACCCACAAGGTCCTTTCCCAAGGGATCACACAGTCTTATTGGTGCCTGCACCCTGGGCATGCCAGCCCACCTTTGTGCAGACCCCTGGAGGGGGTGCTGAGAAAGGCACCAGCTTTGGACCCCACCTCTCACACTCTCACACTTATCCCCCTTCTCATTTCCACACTGCTCTTCCAATAAAGGTGTTTCTCCTCCACCTCCTTCTTCACTGCTGCCTCTGTCACCTCCTCTGGAAGGTGCATGAAGGGCAGGAGAGGCACAAGCTTAGGGTACTTGGGGAGCCACTGGAGGAATAATAAAAGTGTTGCTCTTTATCATCCACAAAGCTGTTGTCTCCTTTCATCTTTCTGGCCTATCGAGAAGGAGTGTGGGAAACATCAGTCCTTTTTATTCACTTGGCATCCCTAAATTCTCCTAGGTTTGTGTAACTCCCCCCACTACATGTCCATGCCTAACAACACCCATTAAATGTTTTTCCTTAGAGTAGAAGCCATCTTTTCCCCCAGCATCCCTTGCAGTAGATAGTCATGTGACTTCAGCTCCACCAATCAGAATCTGTCAATGGTCTCGCTCCTCCACCAGTCAAAACCTGCCAGATGGTCTGGATGCAGAAGTGGATGCACCTGACTTCTGGGGCAGGCAGGCGGATGTTCTGGTGGTAGTGTCTGAGCTGGGTGTTGGTGATGGAGGCCACTCTGTGTCCCAGGAGCAGGCCTGTAGTTGGGTGTGGAACTTGATACCACTTCAAAACAAGACCTCAAATATGAAAAGGAAAGATTGGCAAACCTAAGGAAACAAATTGAGGACTGTTCTAAATTAGATTGTGCAGTGAATATTCCTTCCATTCCACTAAGTACACTTTCCCACTTATGGTGGGTGGGACATATACACCTGCCCCTTGACCTCAGGCTTGATCGTGTGACCTGATTTGACCAATGGGAGGTGGCAGATGTGAGGTGGCTTAAAATATGCTAACACAGTTGGGCTTGGTCTCTTGTGTACCTGCTTTTTGTTATGAGATGGTGCCTTGGGTAGCCCATTGGTGCCAGAGAGTGAGAGACATGGGGAACAGGACCAAACTTCACACCTGCAGCTCCAAGCTGTGAACATGATACATGCTACTGAGGTTGTCTGCCGTGCAGCAATAGCTAGCTGATACAACGACCAAACAACACCATGGGCCACAAATACACTAAAAATTGTAGGGACCAGAAGAGGCATGGCTGAAAAATCAAATTGCTGACAAGTGTTAGTGAATGCAGGTGTAATGACAAAGATTAATAGAAGCTAACATGTGAAGGAGAAATGCATAACTGGCATTTTTATGCCAAACAAGTAGAACAGAAAAATGTACTCAAACATGTAATTCAATAAAACGTCCCCGAAGAAAAATATCAACCTGTAGGTGAAAAAAAAGTATAAGTTAAGTTCCTCGGTGCTGATAACACTAAGGTCAAGGGTTTGGATCCCCCTACCTGCTAGCCACCAAAAAAAGAGAAAAAATTAAGTTCCTTATACGTACTTACTCATCTGATCCTTACAGCAGACCTCTAAAATGGGCAGGGAGGGGTCTATGAAAGCTGGGGAAACTGAGGTTCAAAACCAGACGGGACCTTAATGAATACTGATACAAGGCCTAGGAGGACCTTTTCAGTTGGTGTTATTAGAGGACGCTTTGTGCAGCAACCGGCAACAATAAAGACAAGGCCTGGGCAAAGGCCCGCAGGGGCAACTAAGGTCAGCCTGAGGCAGGGAGAAGGCGTCGCCAGAAAACGGTGTGGGACAAAAGTGCCTGGCCTTAGTTGGAGGGAAAAGCTGGGATGGAGTTTTCAAGAGCTCGACCCTGGAGCCAAGGCAGAACTACGATTGGAGGAGACAGAATAGAGAATCGACTTCCGAACGGAGAGAGTGTGAAGAGAAATCCTGGAGTAGGATATTAATAAGACATTGGAACGGAGCGGTAGAGAAACTGGCTACTGGCTGTGCAGTGGCGCCTGCGCATTGAGTCGACTGGTTTATTCCGAGACCAAGGGCATAAACGGGCGCAAGCGCATCTAAGGCGGAGGTGTTTCGAAGTGGGCGGGGTCAAGGGCTCCCGGGACCAGCACGCACGCGCACTGAGGGGTCCAGGCGCGCGGCTCTTGTCGCACCTGCGCACCGAGACAACCGCTGGAGGGCGGGGCCTCCTGTGCTGGGGGGATTATGGGATAGTGGCGGAGGGAACAGGCGCCAGGGGCCCTGAGGCGTCCTGCGGCACTTAGAAACCTCGCTGGTTTGGGGAAGAGAGCGGTTCAAGAAGTAGGCTTCGGCTTCCGTCGTTCGTCGCTCAGCCCTGCGGCCCGTTTGGACTGCAGAGGAGGACATTTTACCCTCCCGCGGGGCGCTGGATTGGGCTGGGGAAACCTGGTAGACTTCCCCCGTCCCTTCCCGCTGAATCGCCTGCGCGGGCCTAGCGACCCAGCTAACTTCCACACCCGCCTCGCTTGCGGACCCCGTAGGCGCCCGTGTAGGTCTCGAGAACCGGCCCCCGCAACCGCACCCGGCGCTGACAGCGGAACTCTGCGGGACT